GCTTTTTCTCTCTCTTCAAAATATCTCATTTCTATATATATCCAGACTGATCGTCCAGGACGATCGCACTTCGTCCCGGGACGATCTGGCTCTGGACAAGTGTCGTCCAGACGAGATTTAATTATCGTCCCCGGCGACCGGTCCTCTGGAAAATTTTCGTCCAGACGATCCAAATTTCGTCCAGACGATCCATGCAGCCAGAACTGTTTTCCTTGAACAACCTGTACCAATCGTCCCGGACGATCCAACTTCGTCCGGACGAACCTGGAGCAAAAACTGATGTTACAATAAAGGTGAAGGGGGATATAGAAGACAGGGTGGTGGTGGTGTTGATTGATAGTGGGGCTACTCACAATTTCATTTCCACTCAGGTTGTCGACCAATTGGGAGTGAGATTGGTGGATACCAGTTATTACAGGGTGATGAGGGGTATGGGGAAGGTGGAAAAAGGCCAGGGGATTTGCAGAGGAGTGCTACTGACTATCTAGGGGATTTAGGTGAGGGAAGATTTTCTTCCACTGGAGTTGGGGAGTATAGATGTCATCTTGGGGATGAAATGGTTGCAGACTTTGGGAGACACTAAAGTGAATTAGGGAGCACTCAAGATGGAGTTGATGGTAGATGGAAGGAAGGTGGTCAGTAAGGGAGATGTAGGGCTATCCAAATCCATGATTTCTCTTAAAACTATGGTGAGGGATATACATTTGGCGGGTGGAGGATATTTGGTGGAGCTGCATAGTTTGGAGGGAGCAAGATTGGAAAAGGAGGATACATATCCCTCTCCATATAGCCGCTAATTCAGCAATTATAAAAGGTGTTTCAACCATCTCAGGGATTGCCATCGTAGAGGGAGCAGGAGCATGACATCATTTTGAGGGAGGGTGTGTCACCCATCAGCGTATGGCCTTATCGTTACTCTCAGTTTCAGACAGATGAAATTGAAAAGTTGATTAGAGAGATGCTGGAGGCAAGAATCATCAAACCCAGCATTAATCCCTTATCTAGTCCAGTTCTATTGGCGAAGAAGAAAGACGGCAATCGGTAATTCTGTTTGGAGTATAGGGCGCTTAATAAGGAAAATGTACTTGACAAGTTTTCCATACCAATTATTGACGAGCTATTAGATGAATTGAATGGAACAGTGATCTTCAGTAAGATAGATCTAAAATTAGGATACTATCAGATCCGAATGGAGGATGTGCCCAACACTGCCTTCAGAACTCATGAGGGACACTATAAGTTCCTGGCAATGCCTTTTGGCCGCACCAATGCTTTAGGCACTTATTAATAAGGTTTTCAAACTTTATCTCAGATGATTTGTATTGGTATTCTTCAATGACATCCTAGTCTACAGTAAGACAGAAGAGGAGCACTGGGAGCATTTAAAAAGGGTGTTAGAGGTGCTGCAGGAGCACTAGTTGAGAGCCAACTTGAAGAAGTGCTACTTCGCACAAGCCAGTGTAGAGTATTTGGGCCATGCTGTATCAAAAGAAGGGTAGCAGATCAGTCAAAAATTGAGC